ATTATTATTATTATTTAGCCATAAATATATATATTTATAATATTTATTTTATTTATTAAAATCTTATTTAATTACTTTTAACTTATTTTAATCTTGTTTAAATATTTATTTATTTTTCAATATTAAGAAAGGCAGTCTTAAAACAACTGGATGTCCATTTTATAATATTTTTAAATAAATAAATATCCTATTTTATAAATTATATATTAATTGTTTTAATTAATTATTTATTTTTTAATATCGAGGAAAAAAGCTGTCTTAAGGCACCTAGAAGTCCTTTTCTGATATTTCTAAATAAATAAATATTTTATTTATAAATATATAAATTAATATATATTTTTCATAATTATAATTTTAAAATAATAGGATTATAAATTAAATATATTTTGAATTTTTAATTTCTAATAATAAGAGACAATTTATAATTAAAAGTACCAATTTTGGGCGTTATAGGGGTGCTAATCCTTCCCTAAATGTAACCGACCACGAACCCCTTTTTATTATTAAAAAGAATGAATTTTTGGTTAAAACACATATCAGTTTATCTTTTAATCGATGTTTTCTTAAAAACTCTTTTAAAAGATGATTTTTTAGGTATTCGACCTACGTAACCCAAAAGGCCGATGGCGACTCCCAAAATATTTTTTTAAAAAAAAAATCAAAATCTTTAATTTATTCACATCACTTTTTCCGCCAAGTAAAAATTCGTGCGCAGACGAAAACCGGTTACGACAGTGATGTGTAAAATAATGTCGTTTTTAGCATCAATAATTACACTAAAATGATGTTGTTCTGTCCATGTTATCACACTGTTTGAATTTTAACGGTTCAATAATATAATTGAAGTAATTTTTCATTATTGATTTATGGTCGGTATATTTTACTAGGTAACCAAGTTCAAATGCGGTGGAGTTTGCCTTGGAGTTGCTTTGCAACATACCTTAGGAGACGGCACATCGGATCTTCATTTCATCAATAGTTGGGCTGACACTGCAAGGGGATTATCACCTGCAATCTCCCCCTTCATCGATCGGACTCTTCTTCGTGCTCGAGATCCACCAATGCCTAAATTCCACCATGTCGAATATGATCCATCTCCATCAATGAACTCTCCATCAGATGATCTCAAGGCCTCCATTGTCTCAACCTTTAAGCTCACAGCTGATCAATTGAATACCCTGAAAGCCAAAGCAAATTCAACAGATGCAAACGGTGGTGTAAAACATAGTAATTTCAACATCTTGGCTGCACATATATGGCGTTGTGTAAGTAAAGCAAGGGGTCTCTCAGATGATCAACCCACCAAGCTGCACATTCCTGTTGATGGTCGATCTAGAATAAATCCTCCTCTCCCACAAGGCTACTTTGGCCATGTGATCTTTCTAGCTGCACTGATTGCCGAAGCCGGTGATCTCAGAACCGAATCATTCGCCGATACCATGAAAAGGATCCATGGACGATTAAAAGAGATCAATGATGAGTATCTGAGATCAGCCATTGATTACATTGAAGAAGTTTCTGACTTAAACACTTTGGTTAGAGGACCCCATACATTCCGATGCCCAAACCTTGCTGTTAATCCATGGATATGGTTGCCTATATATGATGCGAATTTTGGATGGGGTCGCCCCATTTATATGGGACCGGCAAATGTCGTACAGGAAGGCAAAATATTCATAATACCAAGTCCAAGTAATGACGGGACCTTATCACTGGTAACTCGCCTAGAAACTTCTCACATGAAACTCTTTGGGAAACTTCTTTATGAATTTTAGTAGCTAATAGCTATGCTATTTTTCGCATTTGGGGATTGTTATGATTGTTATGGTATGCACAATATATTGGTTGCTTTAGTAAGTTTGGTGATTTCATTTGGTAGAGGGCTAATTTTATTCAACTTCAAGAGCTATATTAGAGTCCTTATCTAGGACTCGTATCAATATCATTAAAAGATGTATCGATATTTATATGAGAATATCAATATTAGGGATAATTTATCAAACTTCGATCTTATTTTTAATAGAATGAGTATCGCTATCTTAAGACCAGTACATTGGGAAAATGCTGTTATAAATACCAAAATAAGTCCTGATGTTTAGAAAATAAGTCTGGTATCGATATCACTATCCCGGTATCGATATCACTATCCCGGTATCAATACCAGAGGAATAACATTGATACCCTATGAACATTATATCGATACTTCATCATCAAAAACTAGACTTTTGCTTTCAAATGAATAATATCGATATCAATTCATCTGGTATCGATACCCAAACCTAAAACGACCTATTTCATACGAGAAATTCACATAAACTCGCCTCAAACAATTAATTAAGGTCCTATGATGATATTTACTATGAAAATCAGGTGAGGTCATAATACATCATTTTTATGCATTTATAATGTTTAATCCATTCCAAGCCAACCACAAGCAAAATACACCAAACATCCTTCAGCAGTCTTAATGCAAGTAAATTAACATACAATGAGTTATCTGTGTTATAGAGGAATTAGAAGTGTGTTATCTCACTCCAAGACTAATAGAAATTCTTTCAAGCTCACTCAAAAAACAAACTTCTCATTATTCTTGCTTTTGAAGGTCTTTAGTAGTTTTTTCACTAACCAAACAAATAAAAAATGAATTATTAACCCATCTATGGACTTAGGAGGAGTAAGAGAATAAATTCTAATCATTAAAAATATATTATAAGTACATTTGAGCTCAAGAGATCAAAACCCCTCTAAAATTTATACCATGGCCACCATAATCAACCACGGATAAAGAGAGCTTGAATTGATGCTCTATGAGTGGAGATTACGGCCTTTACCTTCACAAATTTTGGCCAAGTATGTTGCGTAATAAAGTTCTCACCTTTTGATGCACAGATAAGAAGAAAAATAAATAGAAAAACAATATGAAAAAGTAGGACGGAGCAACAAAATCGAGAAAATAAAAAATTTATTCTAATTAGAATATGCGGTTTGGTTTTGTTTGAGTTTTTTTAATTTTCGGTTTAGTTTTTTAAAAAAAAAAACATAAATATACAATTCGGTTTGGTTTTAGTTTTTCCATATGGAAATCTTTTGAACTGAATCAAATCGAATAAAAAAAAAAGAAAATAAGTTATATATTTGGATTTATTATAAGACAAATTTAAATAAATAAAATCTTAAAACTAATAATATTTTTTATACATTTAAATTTATATATTTGTACTGCTTTAGATTTGCTATTTTTGAAGGTAGACAATCAAAAATCACAAAATCGAAATATATTATAAAATTTTAGATAAACTATATAAATGATCATGTAACTATGGGACAAGTCACGAAATGAACATCATTTTCAAATTTGTGACAATAATACCACTGAACATTAGGCTCAGGGGTACCAATGAGCTTAGAGAACTCAACAACCACAGAGGACATTCTGTCAAAGGACTCATGGCTATAACTTGTAAATTATCACTGTAATTTCGATTTTTTTAAATAAAATTAGCAGCTTCTTGCATAAAAAAAATCTTGAAAAATTAAAATATATCATCAGTAAATATGATGTTATTCGTTGGACAAACACAAACTATGATAATACTAGTAGATGAGCATCACTTGTTAACAACGACGTATCTGAAGCAAATATCGTCAGATAATGTTAATGTATAGAAATCTTATATTATGTTCAAAAGAGAAAAAATCATGTATGGTGAATACTGCATCTGAAGTGATTGGCTAAATGCTAGTGCCGTTGACAATATCTGTATTAAACTATATTAAAATAATTATTTGATCATTAAAATTTTAAGACTACCAAGTCCTGGAAGAATCAAATAGAGTACCTCAATAATTAATACTACTTGGGGTCCAAGTGAACCGCATATGATGCATCACATGGCAATGGCCTACTAAAGTAAGAAACAAACAAAGAGTGAAATAGATATTCTGCACGGAAGTTATTGCAAATATCTACTTGAATGAATGATGATCTCGGATTATGGCGATAATAAAATAAAGAGAGAATTCTTTCAAATATTACTATTTTGTTCGTTGATTCGTCTATAAAATTAGACTTTTAGTTTGGTCAACTATAACATTATATTTTAATTTTAGATTTAATTATGTTATTCACTATTAAGCCTCCAATAAATCGATAACATAATTAGTTGTTATTGACGTGACATTTCACACCAAAACAACATTATTTTAGTGCGATCATTTTGATGCTTATTTCACACCAAAACAACATTATTTTAGTGCGATCATTTTGATGCTTAAAACGGCATCATTGTATACATTAAACTTTAGGGATTTGTATATTATGTCACTTAACATTTAAAAAGTTTACTTTTTCGGCACAATATTTTCCCCCCTTCATCGACAATTGATCATCACTTGTGATTAATAATCTTTTGTGACAAAATCGATATCGAAATATTTACACGTGAAATTTCACATGTTATTAAAAGAATAAATTGATAAAGTCCAACATGGATGTAAGCTCTTTAAGTTTTTTCATTTATAAATTTATCCGCACGAACCAAATTATCTCCATGATTAAAGAGATGATTGTTACTTCTATGGGTCCAAAGTTTGAGCACTAGCAATTGCAGCTGGATGATTGAACGTTTATTGTCAAATAATTGAAAATATTTAAAGCAAGTACTACTTTGTAAATCACCTTAATAAAATTTAAAAAAGAAACTTACAGATTGCATTCCAAGTTGGACAAATCGACTATGTCACCTTCAACTTTAGGAATTTAGAAAGCACGAGCCTTGGAGCTTAATAGAGCAATCGATTATGCCACCTTCAATTATGTCACAAAGATATTGATCTATTCATATAGAGATAAATACAAAATTTTATATCGAGAGATGAATTTATAAAATTTAAAGATAGATAAATTTATAAAATTTTAAGAGAATAAATACATATTATCAATAAAAATGCAAAGAAAAAACATAATGATAAAAGCATGTTTTCAAAGCACAAGTGGGAAGTGGGGGGCAAGCAAGCCATATCCATGTAACAATTGGTTTACATTGTCAAATACATATTGATAGAACCACCTCCAATTCTTACCTCAAATCATGAGATTGTTGGATTCACTCAGAAAATTTGCATAGCTTAAACGACATCAGATTCACTCAAAATTTCCAAACATCAAAAGAAAAAGGAAAAATAAAACCCAAGTCAACACATTTTCTGAGATTGTTGCATGACATCATGGATTAATGATGTAATATTACGGTAGGAAGAACCACCCACTTCAACTGCTTTCTTTGCCTTTTCTCCAAACTCTCTAGCTCTCTGTCTTCTTTCCATTCCTTCATCTCCTTCGTCCATCAATTTCTCTATTGCAGCTTTAACATGTTCCTTCTTCAGCAAAAACCCAGATTTTTCATCCCCCAGCTTCGTAGGTTCGTTAGCCCCAAGGTTGACTCCAATTCTCAGTATTTGCACCACAAGTTTCTCGTTGCAGAATTGGTCTCCGAAAAACGGCAATGTTATCAACGGGACACCGACAGAAATGCCCTCGATCGTCGAGTTCCATCCACAATGAGTTAGGAACGCTCCGGTTGCAGGGTGTGACAAAATGAGCACTTGGGGTGCCCATCCCTTAACTACAAGGCCTCTTCCTTTCGTTCTTTCCTCGAATCCATCGTCCTCCATCCACTTCTCGACTTGGTTCGGTGTCATGTTGTTTCCTCTAAGCACCCAAATGAAAGGCTTTTTCGATGCCTCTAAGCCTAAACCCAACTCTATCAGCTCTGGACTCTTTAGAGTGCCTGTGCTTCCAAGGCACGCATAGATAACAGAGTTGGTTTCTTGAGAGTCAAGCCACTTCAAACACTGCTGCTCGTTGATCGACGCCTTGTTACCTCTCTCAGCCTTGTCCAACTCGTTCCTGTTGCTGAGTGAAACCGGACCGATACACCAAACTTTCTTCACCTGCTTGTACTCTTCAACGTAACCCGATTCGAGCTCTTCGAAAGTGTTTATGATGACCCCGTAGGATGCTCGATCAGCTTCCCACATCGGTTCGAAAATTCCCTTCCATGATCCGTCATGGTCGAGCGGTAACTGAACTCTCGTAAATTCGACCTTGTTGGTCAAGCCGGGCACCACGAAGTACTCATGATTAGAGGTCAGGGTGTCACATATCTTGGAGGACTGTATATTGTGCAAACAAAGAAGACAGAAGCAACAAAATCCATGGAACGACAACCTCGGAACTCGAAACTTGGTAGCAATTTTGCGGGTGTAATACAGGTTTATGTCCGAAACGATACAAGCGGGACGGGGTGTAATATTCTCAAACAATTTCTGCCCTGCATCTTCCATCAGGTTGGCGGCGGATACGAATTTGATCAAGTCCTCCATCGAATGCAGCATATCAATGTTCTCGACCCCATCCGGCAATCCAACTTCTTTTCCGGGAAACTGGAGTTGCAGTAAACGGATAGGAAGCCCCGATTCGATGGCTCGACCGATCGATTTCTGGATTCTGCCTGCATTATGGGGTGTTGTTACCATAGTGACAATCACTCCTCGTTGTGCTAATAGACGACCGATATCTAGCATGGGGAGCAAGTGGCCTTGAGCCATGAAAGGGAACAACACAAAGTGGGCTTGAGCCATTACAGGAACTGGATAAGAGAGTGAATTGTAAGCACAAGAATGCAAAACGTGCTATATATAGCTAAGCTTCGAGATGAATTTTACACTTATGAATGCTGATGCAACAGCTTATTGGTATATCATGAGGACCTGAATTTTTATAATGTTAGATGGATGAATAAATTCAATGTAGAATTCTTTAATAATTAGTAGAACTTGGGGCCCAAGTATTGGATATTTGAACCACATATAAATCACGTGGCGATGGCCTACTAAAGTTAAAAAAAAAAACCTGAGAAAAGAAGTCTGACACGGAAGTTGTTGCAAAAGATAAATAAATTTGTTTATGAGATTGCAACTTGTAGATCAAGAAGGTGGCAAAGAAGACCAACTGAGAGGGTTGACTGCTGTGAGGATGATGAGTAGGGGGTTTAAATTCGGGTATTCAAAGTTTTCGATTTTCGGTATTTGTTTGGTCGGTTCGTGTCCCAACCCGAATATTACGTGTACTCGGTAATTAGGTACTCGAATTTTACAAGTACTCGTAATTCGAGTATTTGGATATACGATTTTTTTATCGTTTTTAAATTATTAATTAAAAAATAATTTATATTATTAAACAAAATATTATATTAAATATTAAACATATAGCTGTTGGTGGTGGGTCTTTTTCTTTTATTTTATTAGTTTACCTTAATATATAAAATTATTAATAATTAAATATGTAATATTATTATATATATAAAGTAAATGTAATCAAATATTTGGGTAATTAGGTACCGGGAAAAATGCAATTTTATCATCCGAGTTAAATAATTACTCAAAGTTTTTAGTTAGAATCGATAGATCAACAAATTGGATATTTTTCAATACGCTATAATTGGCGAGTGTTGTAAATGGTCTGTAACACTCGATTCATGTGAGTACATCGTTGGACGGTCTTAAAAGACTCGTCCTCTGCTTGGTGGGAAATTCTGTGTTGTGAGGCGGTTAAAAAATGGCTAAAAAATGATCTGACTAGTTAAATAAATGACCGGTTAAAATCTATACCGTAAATGTTATATGATTTAACCGGAAATATTATTTGAGTTGGTAATGAAAACAATATTAACCGGCTATGTTATCATCCAATGTAAAATGCACCAAAAATATATAGACGATAACATAACCGATTAATTTTTGGAAACATTATCAAGCACAATAATATATTAGGTAGTGCTTATATAACGTAATAGGTAGCGCCTTGTTAAAGCTGATGGAGCTTTGAAAATCCGACGATAACATACCAGTTAATTACTGGAAACATTATCAAGCATAATAACATATTAGGTAGCGTTTATATAACGTAATAGGTAGCGCCTTTTTAAGCAACGGGGTTTTGGAAATCCGACGATAACAAAATAGGTTAATTACTGGATTTGTTATTAGTATTATCAACGTATTAGGTAACGCCTCAAATGTTAGCAAAGTCTAAGTTGATTGAGCCTGTTTTGAGAAGCATATTGGACAAAAAGTATCGATATATATACAAAAAGTATTGATACTTTATGTAAATGTATTTTACCATTAAATCAATATATTTTTACAGCTTACATTGTATATTTACCTATTACTTTAAAGTAATCGGTTCGAAGTTTTAAGAATCGATACTTCTCATACGTGTATCGATACTTTAATCCATACCATTACCCTTACATAAGTATCGATACTTTTATGTTTGGTATCGATACTTGTGAGACGCTTGGTTATTTTCAAAACTGGTAGCTATTTACCGGTTTTGTCATATTAAAATCGGTTTTATCAATTTTAACTTGTTATATTGTCTTGTATCGGTACATGTTTCATAGGAATCGATACTTCCTAGGTTCATCCAGTTTGGGAAGCATACTGGACAAAAAGTATCGATACATATACAAAAAGTATCGATACTTTATGTAAACGTATTTTACCATTAAACGGTATATTTTTACAACTTACATTGTATATCTACCTATTGCTTTAAAGTAATCAGTTTTGAAGTTTTAAGAATCGATACTTCTCATACGTGTATCGATACTTTAATCCATACCATTACCCTTACATAAGTATCGATACTTGCGAGACGCTTGGTTATTTTCAAAACTGGTAGCTATTTGTTTACCTGTTTTTTACCTGTTAAGTTATTTATTTTGAAACCGGTTTTGTCAATATTTTACTTGTTAAGTTATTTATTTTGAAATCGGTTTTGTCAATTTCAACATGTTATATTGTCATGTATCGATACATGTTTCTTAGGTACCGATACTTTATAGGCGCAGTTATAGAAACCAGTTGTGTCCATTTTCAATCTGTTATATTTAATCGATTGTTTAAAATTTTTACCGTTTTCTCAAATTTTAACCGGTTTCGGAAACTTTGTTGTCGAGATTATAGAAATGATACTTTAATAGTGTGTATCGATACATTTGCACGCATATATAAAATACATTAATAACTAGTATTGATATTTCAACACTTCTCAAATATCAAATATAGATAGTGTAGTATGTGTTTCGATACAGAGACGTAAATATGGATATAAAATCCCGACCAATCAACCAACAACGTTGATATATTTGGATATGTGAAGAATGCCTTCTGGATAGTATCCATTTCATGCAGCTCATGAAGATAGGAGAACCGTAAACCGAAACCGTCTAAGAGAAACATAGCTGATGTAGACCAAGCTGCATATTTAAAATCTCGAAGGCGATCCATTTGGTTCTCAAACATTTAAAGAATCAGAAGTATATCGGACTTATGATTTGGGTGCTACAGGGGAAATGCAACAAAATGCAACAAAAAATTCTCGAGAATTAAACGCTAGATCTTTTAAAAATAATGTTAAATAATGGAAGATACACACATAAATCATAAGTACTGGTACTTAATTTGTTATTTGTACTATCAACATATTAGGTGGAATTAAAGTATATATATATATATATATATATATATATATATATATATATATATATATATATATATATATATATATATATATATATATATATATATATTGATACATGATAAGTGCTTAATTTAGTTAATATTTTACTTTTAAATTACTCCTTAATCATTGGTTTTTGTGGCTTAATTGTTCGTTTTGATTCATTTTCTGTGCAGGACATCAGATTCTGGAAATTGCACAAAAAAGACAGAATTCTGTAATTTTTTTATTTTTGGAATCAAAGCTGGCTGGAATTTGGATTTGAATTAAACTCAAGTTTAGGATAATATTTTAAACATTATATTTTATCTTTGTATTTTATTTTAAATAGATTTTAGTATTTTAATTAAGTTTTAGGATATTATTTTTATATTTTATCATTGTTTTAGGTATTTTAGTTTAAATAGGTTTTAGTATTTTAATTAGGATTTAGAATATTATTTTAAATATTATTTTTTAGTTATTTTAGTTTAAATAGTTTTAAGTGTTTTAATTAGGATTTAAGATGTTTTAGCTTGTTTTTAGGAATTTGAAGGCTATAAATACCCTCTCAGGGTAAGCTTAGAAACATATATCTCTCATCTGAGAATAAAATATTCTTTTTCTCTCTAGCTTTCTCTCTATTTTTTGCATGCTTTTCAATTATGCTAAGTATGACTTTGGCCATGCTTAGCTAATTTTCTTTCAAGCCAAAGACTAAAGCGAAGGCTCAATTCCAAACGTGAGAATTGTAAGGTACTTAAATCGCTTCTGATTTTCTCTCTATTTTCTTAGCTTACTTTTCAAATCAAAACGATTTCGACATTGGTTCGGATATTGTTATGGTAAACGTTTGAAGAATGATTTGCTTATTGAAGCATATTCAACTTCCCGAGAACACACTTAGCAAAATTGTTTGCTAAGAGGAAACTGAGATCAAAATCAGTTATTGTTGAAACGACACAATCAGAGTTGACAGCGAAGAATTGTCCTTGTAAGCCGACGAGAATCTTGAAGTAAAAATATGTTTCAATGATCCGAGGAATTTGAGGCAAAGTTGAAGTCTGAGGTTGCTTTCACTATAAGTTTTTTTTATCTCAATCTCTTAGATTATTTATTTCATTATTTTCTTTTATTTAATTTTTATCTTTTATTTTAAAAGCAACTTTTAAAAATCCTTTTTTATCTTTACTACTATTATTCATTATTTTATTATTTTCTCTTTCTCTTTTTATTTATTATTATTTATTTTATTATTTTTTCTTTTTAAATTATAATTATTTATTTTATTTTATTATATGTTTTCAACTTCATATGGAATTCTATCCTCCTCTAAATCAAAGAGTTTTACTAAATCACAAAAAAACCATAGTCTTTCTGGATCGACCCTGCTTCTATATACTATATTTTCTTTTCTATTTAAGAAGCCATAATTATTGTTATAGCAAAACGACGGTTATCAATACATTTTGCGTGCAGATTGTTTGAGCCTTCACGTGGAATTAGAGTATCGAGACCGATATAACAAAGTATGAGTATTGATATATATATAAAAGTTTATGATATTACAGAAGCGATACTTTAACAGTTTTATCAATTTACACATAAAGCACTTGAAAGATTGTAAAGCAAAGGAAATCGTCAATGGGTTGTTAATGCACTAATTGCTTACTTTTAACCGGTGCTTGGAGTATCGATACTTGGACCTTTCCATATGCTCCCTTGTATGGTGTACTTGAACCTTGCCAAACATTCTGTAGAATAGAGTCTCCTGCAAATCGTGGCCGAAATCAGTTCCTGATATTTTTGTAGTTGGAATTATCCAGGTTAATCATGTTGACTGCATAACCAATAAAACCCAAAGGGTCCAAATGGTAAGCTAGGAATTGGTAAGACAAACTTTCTTTGAGAGTTTAGGGACTGAACCCTTCCCACGTAAGGAGTGCATGATTCAACATTACATATAATAGTTGTATTCAGTTCTTGAAGAATTGTTCTTCACTGTATATAAGGATAATTATAACGATATCCGTTCACATTTCGAAACCAATTAGTTAGATGCATGCAATACCCTATATCCTCGAGGCAGAGGACAAGAAATCTGGCATTTAAAGATTTACCAATAGCGGTAGCTT